CATATATATTTTTTAGTTTGAATTAGGATTTTTGTTGATAAAAAATACATGAAATTTGAAAATAATTAGATCAGCAGCCTACCTCCAAGTGGCCGCAGCTGGACAGGTCCACGGTTGATTTCCACGTCGTTAATAAGGATACTATACCTCATTATATGGTAACTGTCTCTTCCTATTACGGCAACTGGGATCGGAAGTGGAGAATGTTGCAATATCCGCTCACCTGTGATGATGAAATTTGATATTTAATTTATTGAGAATATCAAAGTCGCAAAAAATTGTAATTTATTGAAATTGATTGTTTGAGATAGATTTTATAAATCACATTCTTGACACCTCGATTTTCAATCGCCATGATGGCATGAAGCCATTTGGAGGCTCACCTGGGATGGCAAAGTTCCAATATTCGTACTCGGTTTGCATATTGCCGCGCAGAGTCCTGAATTCTAAACGAATTCTATCGTGGGGTTCAATATGAAACCCGTGATCCGGTAGTAATCTTCCGTCAACATTGCATTCCAGTCTCAAGTCACGTTGGACGGAATTTGTGAAAGTGATAACAATACCAGCACGGTTTTCCGTAATGGTCGCAAACACGTTAGCCTGTTGAAACAAATATAGTTTAATTCGATACAATCATTAATAACGTTTACTTGAACCTATTATAAAGTTTAACACTATATATATCTGTGGGAGTACTGATGAAAAAGTTACAGAGAATTACTTTGGAATAAAACTGACATAGACCTAATGTAGTTCGCCACCCTGCATTTAAATTAACAGAGAAACGTTTAAAAACAACTTCAACCACTAAGTTTCATTTATTTCAAAATGAAGAATTTATTTCGTTCAAACTTAAATTTTTAACTGAATTTACTGCTACCAGATCAAGCAGTTCTAAAACTAAACAGTATTTAACAAAAATTAAAACATTGATCTAAACCAGGGTGGTCCAAGGTTGTCGGTCTCGCGGGCCACACTATTATTTTTATATTGTTCGCGGGCTACAATACTGCCAGGGATAAGTAAACACTAAACAGTGCAATACAAATCAAACCCTTTCACTTGTGATGCCATACTATATACTAATATCTTACTATATATATATATATATATCTACATTTGGTGTACAATTTCATACCAGAGAAAGTGTCATAATGAGATAATTCCTTACAGACATATTTAGAAAGCATTGTGGTATTTTCCGGCCCATGCCTATAGTCAAAAATCTGTTTGAATTCGTCAGCTTTATTTTCAAATTCATGTTTACAAAATAACTGCAGATTGATTGATTACCGAATGTTACCAAATTTGAGATACAAAGTGGTAATTACTAAATTTTCTAACATATAGGCAGTAATAAAACATCCGAGAGGAATCATATTTTTTGACTATAACATTAATATTTAATTATTAGGCATAACCAACCTAGGCTAATGTATTTCTCATTCGATTTTTAGTTTTTTATTAAGCCTATTTTGATACCATAAATTCCCGACTAAAAATATAGAAAACCAATTAATAATTTAGACTACCCAAGCACATTATTCAACTCAGCTAGCCGCAACACTAGTGCTAGTCAATTCAGTGATAATGGTGATGTAACAAAATGTCAAAAGATTTCTGGTTATTTTTATGAAACGCAGTTACGACACCAAATGCGATTTTTGTTTACCTTCCCGCAAATGCGACGCGGGCCACAGATAATGAAGCGGAGCTTGGGTTTAGACCACCCTGATCTAAACTATGCTAATTAACTTGAAATATTTTTGAGAAAGTAACACAGAAGAAGCCATTCACGACATACATAAATTTATAGCAGAGTTGTATGCATTTACCTGCTCTTCTGCCATCAAGTCCCTTTATCAATCGACAACTATAGCAAGGACAAACTCCTGCAAGGGCGTTGTCCAAAATGAATGCCTCGCTATCAACGTTGTACGATTATAGGGCACTCATAAATTGCGGACTAGCTTTATAAGGGGTTAACAAATTTTTTTTACTGAATTGCATCAATTTCAAAAGGCATAAAAATTATTAAGAAATTCTATATATTATCTGTTGATAGAAAACCCTTAAATTCCAGCGTAACATTGCTTTTAAATTGTTTTGTCTATCCAATTATAAAATCAGCGTTTTACCCTCCTAACCGCAAACCCTCCTAATCACATGATCATAACGGACACGTCACCCCTATAATATTCGAGTGAATATTTCGGTATTAGTTGAGGGAATTTCCCAGGTTAGCGAGTTACGAATTATCATAATACCATTCACTGAGCACGAGGACAGCGCGTGAAAACAGCATATTTGTACCCAAGGGTACTTGAACTCACAGATTAGCATGTAGGTCGCACCCCCCGGACATTTTTACCCTTTTATATATTGAACCCATGCAATTTGGACCTACATATACATCCACGGCCATTTACACACATGCAATTTACACCCACGAACATTTAAATTCACGGACATTTGTCCCCATGGACATTCACACCGACGGTCATTTTCAACCCACAAATATTTCCCTTTTGGACAAAATGTTACTAATAGCAAGATTTCTACGTTGTTTACGTTTACGACATTTGTGCTTTTTGCCTTGTTACATCATATTTGTGTCTACCGTTGCTTAATGTTTTAACCCTTTCCCGAGGTTTGCTTGAACTACGGTAAGTTTATGAATAAAGATCCAAATTAATCGCGTGCGGATTTGAAATAAATTCGTAGTCATTACTAAGTAATGGCATTAGAATGTCCAACCCTCGGTGGCAAATGACAGTACAGCCTCGTTTATGGTGGCCCATCGTTGTCACGTGTAAAATTTGACAAAAAAATGAAAAAAAAAAATGAAAAAGCGAAAATAAAAAAATAGTTGTGAAAAAACATAAATATAATTGAAAAAAAAGAAATAAAAAAAAAATTGAAATTAAAAAAAAAATTGAAAAATAAAACAAAATAAAAATTTAATAAAAAAATTAAAATTAAAAAAAATTTAAAAAAAAAAAAAAATTGGATAAAAAGAAAATAAAAAGGTTGACAACGATGGCCCGCCTCGTGGCCCATCGTTGTCACGCGTTTTTATTTTTGGAAAATTTGATTCTGCTTGGGACCAACGTTGTCAGGCTTAATCCTACACGCACAAATGTGTTTCCTGGGTTTCTAACTCACTACTGATTTTCATGAGCAATATCCAATAAATTCAACATGAAAATGTTCTATAAATTCTCCATGCTACAAGTTCAACCACAAGCAATATATTTATAATAATGATAAGAGAATATAGAATTGGATACGAAAATTTGTTTTTACGTGTAGAAGATAATTTAATTGGAAAATGCTGCTTAACTGCTCAGACACTCGTGCGATGCCGGTACGGTACCGTCTGACCGTACCGGTACCCATGCAATCACTCGTGAAAGAATGGGAGATACGGATAGTCTCGTAGAATATAGTCTACTGAAACACTCTCTGCGCCTGCCCCATACCGTACAGCCGTAACGTACCGATCCAGACAAATGATAAATCGCCCGTGCTCAACCATTTATTTCAATCCATACCTCGACTCACTATATTCTACTAGGATCGAGGTATGGATTGAAATAAATGGTTGAGCACGGGCGATTTATCATTTGTCTGGATCGGTACGTTACGGCTTTACGGTATGGGGCAGGCGCAGAGAGTGTTTCAGTAGTCTATATTCTACGAGACTATCCGTATCTCCCATTCTTTCACGAGTGATTATATGGCTACCGGTACGGTCAGACGCAAAGCGACTATAACCGACTACCGGTATTTGGTAAGACGGTACCGGCATCGCGAGTGTCCAGACAACTGAGTAGTTAAGCAGCAATTTCCAATTAAATTACCTTATACACGTAAAAACAAATTTTTCGAATTTTCGTATTCAATTCTATATTCTCTTATCATTATTATAAATATATTACTTCTTGTTGAACTTGTAGCATGGAGAATTTATAGAACATTTTCATATTGAATATTGCTCAAGAAAATCAGTAGTGAGTTTGAAACCCAGGGAACACATTTGTGCGCGTAGGATTATGCCTGACAACGTTGGTCCCAAGCAGAAGCAAATTTTCCAAAAATAAAAACGCGTGACAACGATGGGCCACGAGGCGGACCATCGTTGTCAACCTTTTTATTTTCTTTTTATTCAATTTTTTTTTTTTTCAATTTTTTTTTTTTTTTAATTTTTTTTTTTGTTTTTTATTTCATTTTTATTTATTTATTTTTTTTTAATTTTAATTTTTTTTTTAATTTTTTTATGTTTTTTTACAACAATTTTTTTATTTTCGGTTTTTTATTTTATTTTTATTTTCAATTTTACGCGTGACAACGATGGGCCACCATACTCGTTTACTTTACAAGCTGTTGCAAAGGGTCGTAGACTCGTGGTGCCTCAAACTAAACCTGATGCACCATAATTAAAATAAACTGATGAAATTTTGTTTAACATATAAATATTTATTGGTGGAAGTCGCCATGTGAGTAAACTGTATCCGAGTGCTATAATCTCGGGTACAAAAGTATGCCGGTGCAAAGATGAAAAAACCCAATTCTAAAAAAATTCTGTACAAGACAAACACAGACTGTGCGAAAACCAGACCTTGCGTTTACAGTAAAAGAGCAGTCATGCAAATATAGTGCATGTGTGTAGAAAAGTCGTTCTATTTTGCGTCTTTTCTTTCTATACCTAGGGCACGGGTCGGCAACCTTTAGCACTGAAAGAGCGATTTGGCATCTTTTCATACAAACTCAAATTTAATTTGAACCGCAACATCTACTCCAATGTTAGTGGCTATTGAAACTCCTGGGAAACCACTTATGATGTAATAATCTATAGTTCTCACTAATTGTTCCCGACTCTATTGTCTGAAGGTTTTTACCCCGCTGAACCATGTATTATGTGCATCTTCTATAGCCCACAACTCAAACCTGACTCCAGAAAGAATCCCAAAAATTAAAAGGTACTCATAGTTCATTAGAAAGACAGTAAAAAAGATACAATAATAAATAGCAGCACAAATTAATAATAAAAATAAATTGATACAAAAATAGATTTTGGTATAGAAATGACAAAAGAGACAATATAAAAGACGTAGGTAAGATTGATCAAATAGACAATAGATAATATCAACAAGTATATCCACTAAAACGAGGAAATACACTTTGAACGCTTCTAGATTGAGCATTGAATCAATAAATAGTCTAATATAGACTACAAAAGCAACGTAACTCGTTGATTGCGTCTACATTAACGTTATACAAGTGGATTTCTTGTTATAAAAGACTGGCATAGTATATGCCTTTGGATTGGTGAAGGCTTCACTCAAATAGCTCTTGTTAAATTAGCAACTCTGTGCAGACTTCCTTGTATTTGTATAATATAAAATGTGCTCATACAAAGTTGATGGCACCAGATCACCCCACGGTGCCATCAACTTTGTATGAACGCATTGTATACATTATGCAAATGCAAGAAATCTTGCACGAAAAGAAGTTCGGTAGCCTCGCCACTAATTTCATGATATGTTTCCTTCGATTCTGTGTTTACAGAATCAAAGGAAACATATCATGAAGTTAGTGGTGAGACAAAAACAAGAGTTAATACCGGAAGCCGTCACCAATCCAGAGGCGTACATTAGACTGGTCTTGTATAACAGGAAATCTCCTTGTATAACGTTGATGTAGGCAGATAAAAAAAGTCTTTTAAGGAGGTCGTATTGAACCCGAACCCCCCGACCAACCACTCGCATTTCCATCCTCGTCTGGAATCATTTGATTCGACGGAGCCACACTATAAAATAGAGAAATAGAAGATTTTACAATTTCCACATGGATAGAGAGAGAGAAAATTTCCATAAATAAATTTTGTAGAATGTTATAGTTATTGCGATAAATACCTGTTTTTCATTTTGTTACACAAAAATGGACATTTTATCATAACGAACATACCAAAATTTAAATCTAAACTTATTTACCTTTGGCAAGTTGATCCAAAGAATGCATTCGTGCTTTGGAAATCTGAAAAGAAGAAATATTTTACATAATGTAAAGTTAGGAGAATGTGACATTTTAAGAAATAAACATTAAACACTCACTTTCAATAAAGAAATTGTGATCGCCGCCCAGTAATCTGTTTTGTTCTGTGAAAATAAAATATAATTAAATGTTTTTTACACATATATATCAGGTAAAAAATTTCACCCCGATATAATACATGTCAAGTTTATATAACTTCTTTTAGTTTTAGTTAAAAATTTTGCTCATCAAAATTGAAAATAATTAGATCAGCAGCCTACCTCCGAGTGGGCGCAGCTGGACAGGGCCGCCGTTGATTTCCACGTCGTTAATGAGGATACTAAATCTCATTAGATGGTAACTGTCTCTTCTTATCACGGCAACTGGGATCGGAAATGGAGAATGTCGCAATATTTGCTGACCTGAAATAATGGCATTTTAGATTCAGATTTATTTCGTCGTGCATGAAACACTGTACAGACAAAATTAAACATGTATGATAATAAAAATATAAAATAAACAAACATACAACGTTTCCGCAATTGCCGCGGGGCCGCGAATAACTATAATGTATAAAATGTAAGCTATCGTGTTAGCGACACCTTGTTGGCTGAGTTGAAATCAGATGAAATTATACAAACCTTATTAATAAGAATTATATCATCAGAATTTGCTAAATAAATTCAATTTAGAAAATATAAATCAAATATAGCGCGATTCAATTAGGAAAGAATTCACTGAAGTAGTCACTTGTGCTTTGTAACGTCATGCTCGGGTGAGCGTGAATACAACAAAGAAATTGCTGACTAACATTCGTTGGTTAGTTTACCGGAATATCAAAGCAGAAACACAATAGTATTTTATTAAAAGTGCTTATTTGAGTTGGATTTTTTAAACCAATTCTCCGATTCAAAGGCTCACCTGCGACGGCGACGTTCCGATATTCGTATTGAGTTTGCATATTGCCGTCCAGAGTCCTGAACTCCAAACGAATTCTATCGTCGGGTTCAATATGAAACCCGTGATCCGGTAGTAATCTTCCGTCAACATTGCATTCCAGTCTCAAGTCACGTTGGACGAAATTTGTGAAAGTGATAACAATGCCAGCACGGTTTTCCGTTATGGTCGCAATCACGTTAGCCTGTTGAAACAAATAAAGTCGATAGGCTTCAATCATCATTAATAACGTTTACTTGAACGTATTATAAAGTTTAATACTACATCAGTGGGAGTACTGATAAAAAAGTGTCAGAGAATTACAAAAATTACTTTCGAATATAATTGACATTGACCTACATTTAAATTAACAGAGAAACGTTTAAAAACAAATTCAACCACTAAGTTTCATTTATTTCAAAATGGAGAATTTATTTCGTTCAAACTTAAATTTTTAACTGAATTTACTGCTACCAGATCAAGCAGATCTGAAGCTAAACAGTATTTGACAGAAATTAAAATATTGATCTAAAGTCTAAACTGTGCTAATTTGTCTTGAAATATTTTTGAGGAAGCAACACAAAAGAAGCCATTCACGACATACATAAATTTATAGCAGAGTAACATGCATTTACCTGCTCTTCTGCCATCAAGAACCTTTATCAATCGACAACTAGCAAGGACAAACTCCTGTAAGGGCGTTGTCCAAAATGAATGCCTCGCTATCAACGTTGTACGATTATAGGGCTCTCATAAATTGCGGACTATCGTTATGAAAAGCAGACAGAAATTTTTTACTAAATTGCTTCAACTTTGAATGACATAAAAACTATGAAGAAATGATGTACTTTCTCTGTTGATGTAAAACCCCTAAATTTCAGAATATCATTGCTTTCCAATTGTTTTATCCAACAGTTTATAAATCAGCGTTTCATCCTTTCAACCACAAACCATCACATGATCATTACGGAAGACGTCATCCCTATAATATTCGAGTGGATATTTCGGTATTAGTTGAGGGAATTTCCCAGGTTAGCAAGGTACGAATAATCATTCACTGAGCACGAAGATAGCGCGTGATGTCGGCAATATATGCGTTGTATAAGCTCTCTTGGTTTGTCGACACTGCATAGAGTGTGACCGCAAAACTGAAGCTAAATTGATAACTCCCGAATTTGGCATCGCATTCAGCGAAAACGATATTGGCAGAATATTACGATTTTAGGTAACATCACATTTGTATCATAGGGTACTTGAACCCACAGCTTTTAGTATGTAGGTCGCACCCCCGGACATTTTTACCCTTTTATATTTGCCACCATGAATTTGCACCTAAGAATATATACATCCAAGGACATTTGTACCCATGGACAATCACACCCACGGTCATTTTCAACCCACAAATATTTCTGTTTCAGACAAAGTTGTTTACGACACTTGTGCTTTTTGCCTTGTTACATCAAAATGTGTCCTTATGACTGTGGTAAATGGCATTAAAGTTTCGTTTACTTTACAAGCTGTTGCAAAGTGTCGTAGACTCCTAGTACCCCCAATTAAACCTAATGAATCATATTGAAAAAAACAAATAAAATTTTGTTCAACACATAAATATTCATTGGTGAAAGTGGTCATGTGAGCAAACTTTATCTGGGTGCAATAATCTGTTTGTACAAATGTCCGTGGGTGAGAACGTTCATGGGTACAAAAATATGCCGGAGCAATGACGAAGAAACCCAATTTTTCAAAAGTTCAGTACAAGGAGTAAGGCATAGATATATAGACGTTGCGGAAACCAAACGTTGCGTTTACAACAAAAGAGCAGTCACGCATACATTGTGCGTGTGTGAAGAATGGCCATTTTATTTTCCGTCTTCTCTTTTTCTATGCCTAGGGGAGTGTTTCCCAACCTACGGTTCGCGACCCAAAATTGAGTCGCCTGAATACAACCAACCCATAACAACAAATCACATATGTATACATTACAAATAATAATATCACATACAACCCATTCGATATAGCCTACATAAGCGACCATTCAAGCGGTAGACATAAGCAATGTATGACTGTGTGTTTGATATCAGAGAGTCGCTTAGTTCAATTAGCGAAACATGGGTGGGGACTAGTACCAACTGTTATGAATATATATTTAAACAAAAGAGCGATGCTCAAATACGTAAATACGAAGACCAAAACGAAGTTGTACCAGTATATAATCTTTTACATTACCGGCATGGGGGGCTAGCGTAGTCTCAGCGACTCCGAGTGACCGCCACCCGCCAGCCACGAAACAATCATGGAGGCGAACGCGGAGCCGCCACAAGGTGCGCAGTTTTCACTTTTGACAACAACAAAAACATGAAAATGAATTCTAACAACAATATAATAACAAAACGATCCATATGTACAAATTGTGTACAATATTGTTTTTTGTGTCGTTGTTAGTTGGTTGGAATGATCGTATTGGCCTGTGGAAGGAATTGTCTTGACAACTTGGAGTAAAGTGAAACGTGTGAACGCAGCTTGTCAAGTATTTTTAGTTGTAATCTACTTTACATCCGGTCCCAGCATGAGAAAATCAAAAGTTTTGTTTTGATATTGTTCGTGTTGTATGTCTTGACGTGATTTGACGAAACTGCAATGAAGACCGCTTTTTAACATTTCAACGTTCAATGATTCAACAACTAAATGAATCATTTTACAATTGGCTTTTTCATAGACATAAAAAAATCGATATTGCATATATTACTATTTGACGAAACTGCAACTCAAGCGAGAAAGAACCGTTTTTTAACATTTTGGACATTCAGTGATTTAACAACATGACTGCATCATTTTACAATAGCCTTTTTCATATGCATAAAACTATATTACATTGATGATAGTGACTCCAGGAAATAGAAACTTCCAGTCCGTGATATGAAACCAACTCGTTATACATATAGTGATATAAACATAAAAAATAGTGTTCAAACTATGGTTTTATTCGCATTTTATATTATTGAACTACCATACGTCATGGAAATTTCCAGGAATATATTTTTAGAAAATTAATTTGACTTCCTCTTTTAGTCGACTATATTTTGGTGGGAGTTCGTTAAGCAATATTTGATACATTCAATACATGGATATTCGATTCCAAATTGGATTATCTCTTATATTAACAATTATATGGCGATTAGCAGTAAACTATGGCTACGAGCTGATCAACTTAAAGTTTAAGAACAAACTATTGTTACTTACATGGGCACATGGGGCTTTATGAAATCATAGGTATTCGTGCATTACAAAGGGCTGAATTTGTTTGTCTGGTTATATGCATATAACATGCAAATCACAAAGGCTTGCCACTGAATGATGTTTATATCATAACAATTTATTACATTACATGATATTTCAATCAATAGCTGATTTGAAGTTTATGTAATCGAAATACCATTACAACATTTCAGGGTGCTTTGCATCGCCCTACAAAAACAAGAGAGCAATGCTCAAATATATTAACACAAAAGCCAAGACGAAGTAGTACGCGTATGATATTTTTCACAGTAGGAGCGTCACTTTTAATTTTGATGGCGTCATCGCGCTTCATCAACCTCTCCGCTAATCCTCGTTAACCTCAACGTCAATCTCATCATTAACCTTAGCTAGACAACATTAAAACCTCATCAAACATCGTGAACTGTATTTTCTGAATTTTATTTCAATATATATATATCAAATTTCATTGTAGTTTTCCAAGATTAAAAAAACAGCCAGATATTTCAGTCACCCCCTTATGCGACACATGTATTTGTCAGGATACATAGAAAAAATGTTACCGCCTGTACGTGATTTCTAGGCGTTTGCAATAATATATATATTGAGAAGAATGCAAAATATACGGATGCGGTATTTGGATAAATGAAAGGATGCCATAAATAATTGTCATCGCCACCTCTCTAGTACATTAATGAAGGTCGGGAACAGATTATCATGCGCTTATAAGCCGGCGCGCCTAATGTATGGATCAGGTAGTGCTTTATTGTCTACATTCAAAATCAGTACCGAGACCGGTTGCGCCTTATGTGTGAATGAAAACTATCTAAGCAAATTATTAACAGTGCGTTTTATAAACCGGGGCGACGTATGGCCCGCAAAAAACGGTTGTTGATTATAATAGTATTCAAATCCACTCATAGTGGCAGGAGAAAAATGGACCGATGCCATAACCTACTGGTAATAATCTTATTCTGTTTTATTATTTTAATAAGAATTCTGCGATGCGACACAAAATGATTTTTTTTATTATTTTATTTTATTATTATAAGAAGTATATAGCACTTTGCAAAATAGCATTTCGTGCTGAACTTTAGAAAATAGGTTTGGCGACAACTGCCGTCAGTTTTTGTTTTGATTGTTATTTCAGTCAGCAGAATTGGTATGTATAGTAATAGCTTATCTGCGTGGAAGTAGAAGTAGTTTGTCCTCTGAATGCAATTTCCAGTGTTTTACCTGCCTATGCTTTCAGTAAACTTTACATGTACTGTCATCGTTCGCACACGACTCCTCGAAGAGCGGATAAAGCAAATCCTGTTCGCAAACCCTGTTTGTTGGAGCCTGGATCTCGATCCACGACTAGATACAATTCCCGCCAGTTTGAAATTGATTGTCTCAGCTGACTCTCCTGCCATTTGATAAACTTTGAAAAAGCAAATGAAGAGTGTTGAACATAAAAAATGGGGACTTGTGGGGTTTCATTTTCTGGTATGAATTATTCCATTGCATAAAGTAGCGAGTTGCATAGTGATAACCGAATAACAGGTCTTTCCTCTTTGAGATAGTCCAGGCCCTGACACGTATCAATGGGTTACTGCCAATAGATTAGAAGTTCTTAGAATGTGATAATCAGCCATGCTGTTTTACTTTGCGCATGGATTAAATATTCAAGAAATTCTTTGTTTGAGTTTGTTTGAATGAGGTTATGACTGATAACAGTTTCAGCTATTTGAAGAAATTCTGTGAATGTGTTTGGGATCTTAATTCGGGGCTTAACTAGTTTTTCCCAAATGGATTCACCTTTGTGCGCAATTTCTGCTGCCTATTGTACCTGGATCTTGCATCTATATATACGTACTCACCATGACTCGGATGTAAGATCCGTAATCGTGCTTCTAGCAATTTCAGAACGGGGGAAAGCAATACTAATATAAAACAAATTTTTATTTCCCAACCTCATCGGTAACTGGCCCTTTGATCCAAACTGATGTAGAAATATAGCCAACTGGTATTTTCGAACGAATATTTTTCACGATGTCGTAAGTATTTTCGTTGAGTATTTGGGCGATACTTGAATCACTATCTCGGCAAATCGATACCGCTCGAGTATACGTTACTGCTTCAGTGTAAACCACTGCGATGTAGCAATGTTTCTCAATACGCAAATCGCATTCTGAATGATAAAGAAAATATGTTATCTTCTTATTCAGTGTTAGAATAAAATGTTCCTCGATTATTTTCCATTGTCAAATTTCTTAGCAATTTCATAATGATGACTCATATTTCTCAAAATGGTAAATACAGTTAGTTTATTCAATGCCATTTTCTATAATATATTTCAACATTCAGTGTAAGATATCAAACTAATCATAGCGGAGAAAGTGCTTCCGCAAATGTAAGTGCTTTCGAACATCGATTAAAGCAAAATCCTTTAAAATTTGAAAATGTTCATTGGTCACATGATTACAAAATGACATTTTAGATTATATTTGCCACAACTGCAGCTTGATTGATTACCAAATGTGAGGTACAGGAGAGTAT